AAAGCTCCTGAAATTGCAGCATTCCTAGCCCAGAATGAAATAAACATAGCCCTATTCCAAGAAACCAAGCTCAAGAAACAAAGCCGTAACCCCTCACTAGGTCCCTTATTCACTCTTATTCGAAAAGACAGGCCCAAAGAGGGTGGAGGCCTCCTCATTGCAATACATGAATCCATACAATGCGAAGAAGTAAGTTTAAATACCGACGGAACACAAGAAGCTATGTGTATATCGGTTGTAGCCGGTACGTCGAAACTTCGTATTAGTAATTTTTATATCCCCCCTAGATCTAGTCGTCCCCCCAGTTATACTGCGTCCCTAACTGATCCCCTGATTCCAGGCGACGCTCTTGTACTCGGAGATGCAAACGCCCACTCTTCCCTGTGGAATTCAAACTTAGAAGAAGAGCAAGGTGGTCAATTACTCTCCAATGAAATTACTGAATCCACTTACGCCCCCCCCCCCCTGAATGATGATACTCAAACTAGAGTACCTTTTAATTATTTATCCTCCAATGCACATTTCTCCTCACCTGACATCTCCCTAGCATCGCAGAGCCTATTACTTTTTTCGTCCTGGACCCTAATTAAGTCTCTAGTTTCCGACCACGTCCCCAGATTTATCGAATTACCTCTAGAAAACAGCATACACTTTTCTCCGAAAAAGACTTTCATTAACTTCCTCAGCGCTGATTGGCGGCAATTTACCGAGGAGATCGAGTCGGGTTGCTCGTCTCGAGGTTTCCTTCTTCAGTTACGGCCGGGGAGAAAATCTTTCGGGATCTGGTACTGAGGGCAGCACGCCACCACATCCCCACCGGGCGCCACCGCCATTACAGCCCGACTCTTTCTCCAGAGTCAGCCTTCCTTGCTGCTGAAGGAGAGCTCGGCCGCCACAACAATCAGCCCATGGAACCTACACAGCACTCTCGTTTCACTCCTTCCCAATTGAACTCCCAACTCCTCAATCAGACAGCGAAAGACAAGAGAAACAAATGGCGTAATATCCTCCAGACCTGTGATTACCGCACTGTCGCCAGAAAATTGTAGAAAGTGGTACGCTCCGTAAACTGATCCAGGCCTGTGGTAGGAAGGCACCCTATTCAATTTGAATCAAAAACAATCTCTTCAGACACAGACATAGCTAAGGCTTTTAATAAACAATTCACAAATGCCAGGATTCATGGGTCAGATAAGCTACTCCGGAAAACCAGACGCAAAATAGCCAAGCTCACCCTGTTAGATAACCCCACTTTCTCCCCCCTACAAACCAAACAAGCCATAGCGGACAGCAAACCCTCGCGAGCACTTGGTCCGGATGGCCTTTGCAACTTTCACTTAATTTACCTGGGACCCCTACCTCTTGAATATTTAACCCTTCTTTTTAATGTCGCTGTCTGAAAATATTATCCCTCAAATGTGGAAAAAATCGAAGATAATCCCCCTACCCAATTATCCACTTCTTATAGGCCCATCTCTTTACTCTGCCCCGCTGTTAAAGTTTTAGAAAGGCTTATTCATCCTTTTTTAAACAAAGTATCTCCCTACCGCCACACATCAACATGGTTTTCGTCTTTTCCACTCTACATTTACTGCGCTTTCCACACTTGAATTTTTTTGTCACAGAGTTTTAATTAAAATTGCCCCCTCCCGCACCATTCTCGCTACGCTCGACCTCTCGAAGGCTTTTGACATGGTGTGTCATCGTACTCTCGTGGAACTAATTCATGACACACCGCTCCCGAGAGGAATTGTTCGTTGGCTGAGTAACTACTTGAACGGCCGACAAACCACCACACTTTTTAACTCCCAAGAATCCCCTCACAAAATAGTTCACTGTGGAGTCCCCAAGGGCTCTGTTCTTTCGCCCAATCTTTTTAATTTTTACGTCCATGACGCTCTCACACTCCCCTATAATGTTCGTTTCAAATCTTGCGCTGACGATTTCCATCCCTTTTTCCAAAGCCCTGATGTAGAGGCAGCATCTCGATCGTTGAACGATTACCTTCATCATCTTTTTAATTTTTTCACTTCCAGGAAGTTATCTTTCGCGTCCTCTAAAGGATCAGTTACCCTTTTTTCTTCATCCAATAAAGATTTTAACAGAACACCCAGAGTACTTTTAAACAACGAGCCATTCCCTCCTAACAAAAACCCAAAAATTTTAGGGGTTCCTTATGCTTTGCTGCACACTAAAAGATCTACCGACAAGGCTCGGCGCAGGTTAGGTGTCCTGAAAGCGTTGGCAGGATCCTCTTGGGGACAGACAAAAGAAACCCTCCTCTTAACTTACAAAGCCTTAATACGCCCCATTTTAGATTATGCCTCCCCTGCCTGGTCACATGCCGCCAGCAAAACTTCCATTAACGACCTGCAGGTTACCCAAAAATAAGCCCTCAGAGTTATTACCGGCTCAACACTCATAAGTTCCACTGCCCACCTGCACAGTGAGGTCAAGATCCTCAATGTCCCAAATCATCACACTCTTTTAACCTCTCAATTTTTATCTCGTCATACCGCTCCCATCACCCAAATAATTTGTACCAATCACACCCCACACCTCCACGTCAAGTTCGACAATCATTTTTAAGCGCTTTTAAAAGAAGGTATTGACTCCGTTTTAACCAATCTTAACCCTTCACTCAATCTTAACAACCCAGAAGAAGTTTCCACTTTCGTTTTTAACCACCACAAGTCCATTTTAAAACGCAACCACACAAATCTAGTAACCAAGTTCCTCGCAGAAATCCCTCCCTCTAAAGTAATTTGTATACCGCCCCCTAAGGTCGACCCCAATGAAAAATCTCTCCCCAGAACTACCCACTGTAAACTCTCCCAACTCCGGTCTGGTTACAGCCGGCTTTTAAACACATACCTCTCCCGGCTAGACAACAAAGTTTCCCCACTATGCCCGGACCTTGCACCCCACACTAGTTGCCACATTTTGAACTGCCCCAAGAATCCCTGCCCATTCACCCCCGCAGACTTGTGGCTTAGGGCTGTGGAAGTTGCGAAGTTCCTTAGCCTGGAGACAGACGAGCCTAACCCGACCAACATGGGCTAATGAAAGAAAACCCCAAGGGTCTATCCTTGGACCACTACTATTCCTCCTCTTCATCAATGATTTACCTGGAACGATGAAAGAAATACCCTGTTACGGGTACGCAGGTGACTTTAAAGCAATAATCCGGAGCCAAGGTGAAATGAACAAAGCAACAGAAAACATTGAAAAATGGCTTTCTGAAAATAAGATGACACACAAATTGTAAACATTAAAGGAGCACTAAAAGCCAATCTCATGGGCAGTCCTCTGGAGCCAGTGGAATCCCAAGTGATCTAGGGCTCATTGTATATCAAAACCTAAGCTGGTCTGAAAATTGTCAAATACGTTCCAAAAAGGCAATGAATGCGCTCTTTCAAAATAAAAGAAACCTTACTTCGGACTGCCACTGGAAGGCTAAGTTGAACGCGTAAACTGGAAACGTAGTACTGGTAGCAACATACGCTTCTCAAACGTGGTGGCCAAGCAAGGGAAACCTCCAAGAGTTGGAAAAAGTCCAACTCTATGCAACAAAACGGATATTAGGATCGAACATCAATTACCGTAGCCGCCTCCTTTCCCTAAGAATACTACCACTCAGTCAATATGTCGTGATGTATGTTCTTCTTTTTCTATTGTCAATGAGAAACGGTGATTATATTGCTTCGCTAGGAAACACCAGACAAAATCATAGAGGAGAATACAGGCTGTACGAATCAAAATTGATAAAACCGATGACAACTTTTTCCGACGAACGAAACTTCTCTTCAACTACGTATCACGAACGTACCCTAATTTTAGCAACGAAACTAACAAAGATACCTTGCAGAAAATCTATTGGCACTTTTTCACTATATACTACTCCGAGGAAAATAAATGCACATGGAGAATAATATGCAGATGTGGAAACAGTAACATCACAAACAAGATAAAACTAAACTGATGAACTTGAATCTGGGTGCGAACCCTTGAGAAATGTCTCTAAATCTTTTACTACTACTATACAAAAGACGATATCAAACGGAAGCAGATGGTTGATGTGTACATAGCACGCAATTAATTGATCGGTTGAAGTTTGATTTTATAGTGTCGAGAAAACCTTTGAAAAAAACTCGAATTTAGAATTTAGAATAGCCGGTTGATGTGCAAGTAGCACAGAATATTCCGGCCAAATTCACTTAAAAAAAATAGAAAAAGAAAGTTTTTTTTTCTAAGTTTCTCCAAATGGGTGTCGTTTTCAGTGCGTGGTGTGATTTGAGAACTATGCGATCGCGTAGAAAGTATGTGAAATCGGCATGATCGACAATATATCTTTTTTTTGCACATTTTTTTTGCACCAAGTTGTAATTTTAAAAAAAAAAATTTTTTTTTTGCCAAATAAGCGCAAAATGAAACATTCGCGAAAAATGAAACTAGCGAAAAATGAAACTATTTTTCTTTCTAGTAAGATCAAGTTTTTTAGCCTTAAAGTATAAAAGAAAGTAAATTTCCAGGTAGTGAATTTCCAGTAAATTTCCAAGAGTGTTACTCGATCGCGTTATTCGCCCGAAATTAGACTAAATCGCAATCAAAAATTTCAAATCAATTTTTCTCGACGCTGGGACAATTTTTAATCACGACTGAAAGCGCTCTTATATGATGTATCACCTGACCCATTCCGATGATTATTTGGATTGGCACAGTTTTCGTCCTATTTAATTAATATTCAGATTTCGTCCCATATCCAACATCCTATCATCCCATATTCAAATTTGTGGGACGAAATCTGTACGCTTTGAAATCGGACGAAATCTGTTGAAATTAAAATGGGACGAGATCTGTTATGGGACAAAATCTGTCACAGTCGATTATTTGTAGGTACCTAATTTTGCGTGGAAAATAAAAAAAAAAAACTTTGTATCTGAATTTTGAAAATTGTTTTCCTCAGCGGGTTAGGCTTCTGGGTACGTAACTTTAAAAATTGATTTTTCAAGGTCAGAACAATAATTTGCTTTCAGAAAAAAATGTTTGAGACTTCAGTGGGCGATGCCTACAGATGCATCGATCCTGAACTCTTGAATGAGAAGCACTTGGAGCATAATCTTAGAGTAGACGGTCGACAGCTCTTGGAATCGCGCCCTATTCTCATCAGTAGCGGAGATATCAAAAGTTGCGACTCTAGTTCTTCAGTTAGAATTGGAAACACTAAGGTTTATTTTTCTCCTAACGAACAAACATTTAGTGGCAATGAGCATTTTTTTTTCAGTTCTCATAGTGGTTAACAGTCATTAATTTGAGGAAGCGTTTATCGAGGTAAAATAATACAGGTTTAGGTTATGTGTGGAGTCAATATGAGACTGTGCAAACCCATTCTGCAGTATCCTGGCAGAGGTCTTCTGCATATCAGAACCCAAACTAGTTTCTCCAACCCTTTCCAAAGAAGTCACAAACGAAATGCCGTTCTCAGTGACGTCATTTCAGAGACTATTTTGTCATCTTCCTTTTTGGATCTGAACAGTTTGTGTGTTAAGCGTGGAGTGCTTTGCTGGTGTTTGATGCTCGACCTGACAGTGATTGAAGATGACGGCTCATTGGTCGATGCTCTCATTTTTGCAGCTGTTTTGGCCCTGAAAAAAGTGAAGCTACCTAAAGTTGATCTAGATGAAGAATTTGAAGTGAACGGTGTTGATGTTTCGCAGTCAGGTAAATTTTAAAGGTACCGCGATCAATACATTGTCTTATATAGTTTTTCATTTCTTGGAGATTAATTTTATTATTCTAGGGGTCTTATAGCTCATGGTTTTTTAGTATTCAGATAGTTCCTTGTCAATGTTTCTTGATATTTCCTCAGATATTTCCTCAGATAGTTCCTTCAGATAGTTCCTTCAGATATATTCAGATATTTCCTTCAAAAATACCTTGTCATTGTTTCTTGTTTTGACCTAAGTGATCTTCGAGCATTCCTGACGGCAAGATTTGTTGCCACTTTGGAATTTTATTTTGGTTGATTTTAAATTGAAGTCAATCACTTCTGAAAATCAGCGATTTTTTGAAAACGCTCCTAAATAATTTAATTCCTTTCGAACTATTCCTTGTCTGTTTAGAACTCTTGAAGTTGTCTGATAATACTCCAGTCATGACTACATTTCTCTCTATGTCCTCACCTCGCAATCGGGGGCATAATGTGATAGTGATGGATCCGAATGATCAAGAGGAAAGTATCCCTTCATCGGGAGTGATAAGAGTGACAGTACTCGGAGACAACTGCAAATTTGCTCAAAATGGAACTGTTTTGTTAAACTCTCATTTTGTTTTTGAAGAAGCTAAAAAGAGAACCAAGTTTATGTTAAAGCTTATGAATTAATTTCATTTTTTTTTGCTGTATTAGAGTCGGTTCATAGTTCAAAATATTTAGACGATAAAAATATCACAGAAAAGCCAACCATTAAGATAGTTGACGAATAATTGAAAACAAAGTCTCAGCATATTCTAAAAAGATACTCTTATGATATATGAGTCCCTATAAATGACCACGTATCATGACGAAAACATGTCTTAGCTCGTAAATTGATAATTATTTGAAAGGTGACCATTTAGGAACATGCCCAATATATTTTGAAACATTTTTTTTCGATAGCGAAACATACATTAAAATTCCCTCTTTACCATCCGCATTCGAAGTCGCAAAGATTACAAATTTCAGCAAAATTGAACTTCGAGTGGTAATTAGTTATCCTACTGATGATTTCAAAGTCCTGTAATAATTGAAACCAGCCATCTGCTTCAAATAATAATTACGCTTGCGATAAGCCAGCGTTATTAAACTGGAATAAAGACTTTTCACTTCTTTTCACTTCTCTTCTTACCTTCTCTTAGCATTTTTCAGGTTGCTTCCCCCATGGCCTGTGTTCGAGTCATGGCCTGGATTCAGTATCAAGAAAATTGAAAAAAAAAATTCCGACAAAAATTAATTGTTAGTTTTTTCTTTGTTTGCTCAAGTTTTGTCGGCTAAATTGCAAGTGCAAGTGTTGTTCATTCTAATTTCAAAAGGGGACTTGAAACATTTTAAAAAGCTTTCATAAATTTTTTTTTCGGTTCAGTTGGTGTCAAAGATGGTCGGCTTAGTTGCCCCATCACTGGTTTTTTTTTTGCTGTAAACAACTTACATTGTAGTTTCAAGTGCAGTTGTTGTCCATTGTTGTTTAATGTGGGACTTTTTAATATAAAAGCATATTTTTTTCGGCTCAACTTGTGTCTGCTTAAAGGTGTTCCGTTGTTGCTGATTTGAGCAAGTGTGAGGCATGTTTGCCTGGAATGAATTTCTATCGCGACATGAAAGTTTATATGACCTAGTTTCTTTCAAAAATTTCCATTTTCGGCTTTATATTTTTCTCCTCTGTAATAATAATAAATCGTTGTGGTAAACAGTTCTATTGTGGTAATTAATTAAACAAATTTATAAACCACGCCAAGATTTTTACTATCTGGGAGAACACCATTGGTTCTACAGATACGATCCGTTCACAGGTGTCTCAGCACAAATTCATTAAGTATATTTTTGATACAGAAAAATGAATGAATTCTCAATCTTCATTTTGCTTTTATTTAAGTTTTATTACATTTGTTTTCCATTTTGTGTTCTGGTTTTGGAATTTTCACGACGATTATATAACTGCTTCAGACGGTTCTTAGAGGCAACTTTTCCCAATTGCTTATCCATCCCGACTTTGCGTGCTTTCATGTTGGTTTTTTTATATACTGTTACAAAACGATTTAAATTCTCTGCAAGAATACCTTGCAGCTCTTCGTTCAAAGTGGTTCAATTTAAAAATCAAAATTAGTTTATAAATTATATTACATTTTATAGTTTTGTTTTAAGTTTCAAATTGAGAGACAAAAACATTAAGAAACTTTGTATCGACTAGTTTTGAAAATAACTAGCACCAGAACTCGTGGTAAAGTTTGTTTCAATCTTTCCAGTTTTTAAACTGAATGAAATTGAAATTTTTTCTGATGTACCCGTGTCTTTGTTTCTTCCGGTCGCAGTCTCAAAACCTGAGACAAGCTTGACCGCTGACTCACTGGCAGGGCAAGGGAAAACTTAACTGATATATTCCAATAGACAGATTTTTTCAGAGATTTTCCGAAGTGAACCTTCGTATCGTTTTTAGCCGGCCGGGATCTCACAACATAAGACAAGATTTATTGCAGACAGGGCACTTGGAAAATAATTTATTTTCAGGAGAACAGCAAAGCAAACAACAGTTTTTAAATATTTTCAAAATTTAAAAAAATAATAACTTTTTTGTTGATTTAAGACAGTAGGGGACATAAAACATTTATTCGATCTCGCGTGATTTCAATTTAATTACTTTCATCACAAAAATGAATAACGTGAATCACGTCAAACAAAAAACTAAGTCTTTTGCAAAATATCAATCTCTATAGGTTCAAATAAAATTGCTAATTCTGACCATTGCTTACTTTTTTGCTTTTTCTAGTCAATGTTTTGTTCTAGTCGTTTTCCGGCAATGTTTTGTTCCAGTCGTTCACCCTTGCATGTCTTGATTCCTCTGTTGATGCTCTTTTTTTTGTACGAGCTCCTTTCTTTTATTGATGCTCCTTTCTTTTGTACGAGCACCGATACAACATTGTTTGCGGTTTAATCAAGCCCTTGTTTTTGGCCGCCGACTTGATTTGGTCCTCACATTTGATTAATCTTTCGAATAAGTATATATACTTATTGTTCGCCGCGTTGGCTGTTTTCATCTACTAGCTTGTAAGCCGGACAGCTTTGTCCGCAAAAAAGACATGCAAATAACTAAGAACAAGAGTCTCTTAAGATCACCCGGTAATATATGACAAGATATAATGCCATCGTACTTCAGTTTTTTATCTTAAGTTTTTTGAACAATCAAGTTATTCGCTGTTACATCTTCAGACACCCTTGCATCAAAGGGTAGGTTTATTATTGATACCCAGTCCTTATTTGAAATCTCGTGCTCTAAACCTAACGTTCATTCTTTCTTTGCTAATGTTAAATTTAATTTATTTTCGGTCCGTTCAATCGCTAGACCCCGAAAACTTTTTTTTTCCCTCATGAACATATTTTACAACATCAGTCTGAACTTTTTTGCTCTCGCTGCTCATTAATCGAAAGATATTTTTAATTGGGAGCAGAGTTTTTTCTGTATCTAATTGATTATTAACCGAAACTTTAAATGAATTTGAGTCTCATGTAGAATATAATGCAATTCCAACGCTTTCGAGAAAAAAAATTGTTTTAAGCTAAAAAATGCATGGAGGTTGACCGACTGTTTCAAGTGAAGGAAAAGTTGTTTTTTTTCTCAACTCATTGTTTCGCGAGATGTGATGGTAAAATCGTGACCTGTACATAATGGCTTTTTCTGGGGATATGTGTATCAAATCAGTACCTCTAAATAATCAATTATGTTTTTTATGTATAAAAAATGAGAGAAATTACTCGCAAAATTTTTATTCTAGTTTGATGAGCGCAGTTTTTAATATTTAAATGTGAAAACTTCTCTGAAACTATAGTATTATATTTAAGTTCAATTGGATCACTTGAAATTGCCGAAAATGAAAAATCTTTAGAGTGGAGCAATATGTCTTGAGGAAGATTACTCTTTTTTTTTTCTGATGTTCGATGTACAACAGTTTTTTTAATGGATTTTTGCTGCTTGTACTACCCAGCGTAGTGTTTAGTTACCGAATCACTTTTTTTCCAAATCAAGTCGATTAAAATTTGTTCATTTGGTGGCTGCATAAGTTCGGCAATTTAGTATCACCAGTTTGCTGATTTATTGTAGCTAGTGATTGCTAATAATCAAAAGACTGTGGTGAAGAGGCAAGTACGTGAATCTCCAGACTTTAGGTCGGACTTCAAATCTGCAACAAAGCAATTTTTTCCAAGGTTGTTTTGCCTTTCTATCGTTCACTTTTTGTCTTTTTAGAGCTGCTTTTTGCCGTTTTGTTGCTTCATTTTGCATAGTGCGGCTTCGTTTTTGTCTCAAACTGCATTAAACAGTGTAAGCTGAATAAAGTGCACTGATTTTGAGCAAAATTTTGCATGCAAATTGAAGCTGAAACAAGTTTTAGACAATGGTATGATGCAATTTCATGTGTGGGTTGCGAAAAGGGATTTCTTATACAAGTTTGTAGCTTTCTCAGGACAATTTTTTACTAGTGTTTGGGCTGCAGCTTCGCCAATTTGCAAAATTTTATAATCAAACAGTTCCGACATTAAAGATTTGAACCCGTACACTCCTCTGCAAATTCGACCGAAATTAATGAGAATATATGAAATCGAAATTTCTGTAAACCGTCAATTACTGGCATACTGAAAAAACTCCCGTTCAAGTGAAGCGTTTAGAAGGTGAAACGTTCAAAATAAATTAAGAATTATCATAAATAAGAAGCAGTTTTTGACAGTATTGACATTTTAAAAAGATAATATTAGAAAGTATTTACAAATCATTAGGTAACTTTTGATTCTTTTGGGTAATCAAAACAAAAAATTCGTAGTAAATATTTTTAGTAAACTCAAAATTAGTTATACATTGAAGACTTATAGTTATACATTGTAGTTATATATTGACGACTAAAAGATAGACGTGATTATAAATCTCCGCTGTGTTGGCTAATCAAGTTTAAGAGGACTATTATTTGGCTACTCCATTTTCATATTGATTTCTTGATTTTCGACTTGATTGGTTTTGACGTTTGTTGAACCTGCCTCATTATAAGTCCAATAGCATCAGAAGCATAAAAGTTGATGTTTTTGGCTAATTTGAGATTCGGGGGTAGCGGCAATGTTTTTTGGAGTCGTAAATTTTTATATATCAATATTTTTAACATTTTTTTTGGCTCACGACGTCTATCCTAACAATTTCTGACTGTCGGCCGCTCGATTTTAAATCTGCTCTGAAAATTGAATCGTAATAACTCAATCCAATGGATGTTTTTTCAATTCAGTGATAAACCAAAAGAAACAAAATTCGCGAAAGTTTTAGAATGGTTAATTTATACACAAATTTTTATACATTCCAGTATATCAGATGCAATGTTAGTGTGGTTGCCTTTAGTTTATTACATTCCATATTTTAACAAGCCAAAATACATGTGCCATACTTTTGTGCATTCCATATTTTTGTGCAATTCAAAGGTATCTATTGCTACTTTTCGGGTGTGTTTGCTAAGTTGCAGCTTCGCTTCTGTAATTTTTGTCTCGCTGCTACAATTTCTAATAATTTAACTCTGAGGATTGCTTTCTGTGACTGGTTTTTAAAAAATTGAACATCATTGGTGACGCGCAAATGAAAATATTTTAGATGTAGTTTGCTCTCCATTTTCAAATAA